TATCCTGGTTCTTATCAATGCTGTGGGATTTGGACGCTTCCTTTCCGTCTCGTTTTCTTGAGTACCGGTTCGGGGTGCATGTTTTATAGTCCGACCCAATCCCCCCTTGGTGGGGGGGGGGGGGGGGGAGGGAGGGAGGGAGGGATCGGGGCCATTTGGCGGCGATCGCGAGGGCGATCGCGAGGACGATCGCAAGGGCGATCGCGAGGGCGATGGCGAGGTCAGGGACATGGTCGGGCACTCTTGTCGCGCAATGGCGGGTGTGGCGAGCGGAACCGGGGATGGAGCAGGTGCAGCTGGTGGCGTAGGCGAGCTCGGGGCATGGAGCCAGCGGCTAGAGTTGGGCGACGGAGGAGGAGGAGAGCACGGCGGACGGGGCATGAGCGAGCGTGGTCGCGGGGTGGAGGGCATGGGCCGGTTTGCCAAGGCTGCAGACAAGGTGTTTGCGGTGCGGTCGAAACGGAACGGAGTGACGCGGGTGGTCCGTGAACGGTATGTCCGTCAGGACTGGGAGTGCCGGACGGAAGGGTGTGAGCGGTGCGCGGGACAGGCGACGGCCGATGCCGGCGACCTGTGGGGTGCCTTCCCGTCGCTCGCCCGGCGAGTGAGCGGAGCGCGGCTGATCCTGGTGCCGGACTTTGGCGTGCTGTGCGAGCATACGCAGCTCTTCACGGCGTATCCAGCGCTGTTTGACAACGTGGTGGTCTCTGGCTCGGCCATCACGCGGCTGCAGGACATTGGATACACGCGGACGCTGGAGGAGATTCGAACGCTGACTGCCGACACCCGGCGGTCGGTGGTAGTCTTTTCCGACCACGCCTGCGAGGATCTGGCCGGCGAGGTTCAGCGACTGTCTGGCGGAGCAACGCCGGGAGCTGCGCGCGATCTGGCGGTTGTTCTCGGCAACTTTTACGCCGATCATTTGGGCCTCGGTCCGGACGTCTCGGTGGTCGTCCTCTCCAACGAGGCGGCGAGCGAGGACCGGCCTGCGGTGACTCCCGACGCGCCGGTGGTCGAGGTTCTGACGACTGCCGAGTATTTGCGGGCGCTGCAGGCTGGGAGCAGGCTGAGCCACATGCTGAGGAGCGGCGATGCCGCGCTGGTGGACAAGGCAGCGCTGCTCAACGAGTCGCTGGACGAGCTGCTGGCGCGAAAGCGCGAGCAAGAAGCTGCGCGAGCTGCAGGTGAGGGTGAAGGCGGAAGCGAGTCGCTCATGTTTGAGCCGCATGCGTCCGAGGCTGTGGTCGAGGCCGGGCTCAAGTCTGGGGTGCTAGTTGCGGGCGTGCTCGCGGTATCGCGGCGGAACCGACGGGCAGCGTTTGTGACGAGCCGGACCGGAGAGCGCATTTACATTTCGTCGCTCAAGGCGCGCAACCGAGCGATCCAAGACGACGAGGTTGCTGTGAGGATTCTGCCGCGGTCACTGTGGGAGGTGCCGCCACAGTCGATGTCGCGCGGGCGCGGCGGCGGATCCGAAGGCAGCGGGGCGAGCGAGGGCGGCGACTCCGGAACCGGCTCTGAGGACGCGGTCATGACCGGGAGTGTGGTGGCGGTGATGCGGCGGACGCTGAGCGGACCGATGATTGCCACGCTACCGGCGCTGAATGACGGGGCGCTGGTGCCAAACTCTGTGCTGGCAGTCCCGATGGACATCCGGCTGCCTAAGATCCGTGTGTCGTCTTCGCGGTTGGCGAGCCTGTTTGGCCAGCGGCTCCTTGTGTCACTCGATGAGTGGCGTGCGTCGTCGGCGTACCCGTCGGGCCACGTGGTCCGGGCGCTAGGTGCTGTGGGCGACGCTGCGGTGGAGATGGAGGCGCTACTGCTGGCCAATACCATTGTGGTCGAGCCGTTTTCGCCGGCGGCACTGGCCGAGCTGCCGGACCACGAGATCGGCGCGGCGTGGGAGGTTCCTGCTGCCGAGGTTGCGGCGCGGCGCGATGTGCGCGGGCTGCACCGTGTGGCGTCGATCGACCCGCCGGGCTCCAAGGACGTCGACGACGCGCTGTCTGTGTGCGAAGTGACAAGCGGGAAGCACGCTGGTTGCGTCGAGTTTGGGGTGCACATTGCGGATGTGTCGCACTTTGTGGCGGCCGGGTCTGTGCTCGACGCCGAGGCGCGGCAGCGCGGGACTACGGTTTACCTCGCGGACCGACGGTATGACATGCTGCCTGCTGTGCTGTCAGAGGACTTGTGCTCGCTTCGTGGCGGCGTGGACCGGCTTGCGGTGTCGGCAATCTTTACGGTCGACGTGAGCAAGGGGTTCTCGGTCAGAGACGTGTGGTTTGGGCGGACGGTGATCAACTCGTCGTACCAGCTCGAGTACGGGCAAGCGCAAGCACTGTTTGACGAGGGCGTGGGCTCGGCAAAGGTGGCGCGCTTTGCACCATTTGCAGGCGTCTCGCAAGACGACCTGGCGCAGCTGCGGCGCGACATTGGACTTCTTGTGGGCTTTGGGCGTGCGCTGAAAGAGAAGCGGCGGGCGCGCGGCGCGCTCGAGCTGCACTCGGACGAGATGCGGGTGCAGTTTTCCGAAGGCACTGCCGGAAGCGCTGTGGCAACGTCGAGTGTTGTCGGGCTTTCAGCCAAGGTCCAGCTGGAGATGATGGACATTGTGGCGGAGTTTATGATTCTTGCCAACGAGGCTGTTGCCGAGCGAGTGTATGTGGCGTACCCCGAGGCGGCGCTGCTGCGGCGGCACCCGCTGCCGCGCAACGAGGCGTTTGAGGATCTTGTGCGTGTGGCGACACTTCGTGGCTACGCGCTGGACACGTCGTCGAACGCGGGCCTTGCGGCGTCGCTCTCTGCAGCGATGGTGGGTGACGGCGAGACGCTTCAGCTGCTGCGGCAGCTCGCGACGGCGGCGATGTCCGAGGCGGTGTACTTTTCGACGGGCTCTGTGGCCGAGGATGAGTTCTACCACTACGGGCTTGCAGCGGCGTACTACACGCACTTTACGTCTCCAATTCGGCGGTACGCCGACGTCATGGTCCACCGCGAGCTGCTTGCTGCGGTGGGCGACGGGCCGGTGGTGCCGAGCCTGGCGAACCGCGGGGTGGAGCTTCTGGCGGCGCACCTCAACGACCGCAACCGGGTGGCCAAGGCGGCCCAGCGTGACTCGGTGGATCTCTTCCGCAACCTGTACTTTAAGCTGCACGGGCCTGTCGAGGCGAGCGGAGTGGCATACTCGTTCTTTGACAACGGATTCGAGGTGTACGTGGCCGAGTACGGGCTCCGGGCGCCGGTCTATGTGTCTGCGACCGAGCTTGCTGGCGGCGAGCACCCGTGGTTTGCTCAATTTGAGAGCAGCGGCAGCGGGTATGCGGTCGAACTCGACGCGGGCTCGCTGCGGGTTGTGGCGCGCGGTGGGAGCGATGCCGAGCTTGCGCGTATCGAGCTGTTTGACCGGGTCAGGGTCTCGATTAGTGGGTCGGACGCGCTGGCGCGGGTCGGCGGCATTGCGGTCTCACTGGTCGGGGCCGACGCAGGGGACCGGGCCGGGGGAGCGAGTGAGCGAGGGCAGCAGGCCGACTTTCGTGAGTTGCTCAACGCCGATCGGCGGGTGGCGAGAGTTGGTGGCTCGGGCTATGCCGAACTCGGATCTGGGGCGCGGCGGGCGGCGGCGGCGACGCGGATGAAGCAGCAGTGCTATGAGCTGACCGGGACGGACGGCCGGAGTGCGCGCAAGTCGTGGTATGTCCGGTTCGCTGGGTCAAGCCGGGCAGCGGCGGCGGGCGGCGGCAGCGGAAGCGACGGCGGCGAGGGTGCGGGCGACGATGCGCAATTTGCGGCGCGGACCGAGGCCGGGGTGTGGGAGCGTGGGCCGGGCCGCCGGCGATACAGCGGGCGCGATCAGCGCTGAAAGCTTGAGTAGTCAAACGAGCCGGAGTTTGGCGAGCGTGACGATCAACGATAGCGCGTGCGGTTCTTGCGCTTGTTGCGGCGGGAGGAAATGCCGCGGTTCATGTCCTTGCGCTGCTTGCGGGTTCCAACAAACTTCTCCATGTACTTGGAGACCTCGTTGTGAAAGGTGCCCTCGGCCTGAGCGGCGATGCTGTCCTCGGAGGCGATGCCAAGCTTAAAGCCCATGTTTCTGTAGAAGCGGATGGCGTCGTTGTAGGCCCAGAGGGTGACGTAGAGGGCGCGGTGGCTTTTTGCCCAGGAGATGGCGCGCTTGACGAGGACGTGGCCGAGGCCGCGACAGCGGACGCCCTCGTTGACCCAGAGCTTGGAAATACCGACCAGGTGCTTGGCGTCGGCAAGCTCGCCGCCGAGGCGGTAGAGGATAAAGCCGTAGACCTCGGGCTGAGCGGCCGGCTCGGAGATCTCGGACTCGGGCTCGGACTCGGGCTCTGAGCCCGAGGCCACGGCGTTTGCGGCAGCAACCGCGCTCGCAGTAACGGGCGCGGCGGCGTCAAAGACAAGGTCGAGGCGCCATGCGAAACGGGAGGCGCCGGAGGTACGGGTGGGCACCTCGTCGACATACTTGGACTCGAAGAAGACGTCGAGCGAGGCGGCACGGACCTGATCGAGCACGCCCGCCTGGAAGCGAGGCGCTACATCCGAATAGGCAACCACGCAGCACAGTGCTGGCAGCGGCGCCAGCGGTTGCCGGCATGGCTCGGCCATGGATGGCGCCAGGCCGTCCTCACCGACAGGATCATGTGCAGGGACAGGAGCCGGGAGCGGCGGAGTGGGCTCGGCAGAGGAAGGGCATGCCGACGAGGAGGCATCAGCAGTGGCAAGCATAGTGTCTGTGATGGTGGTGGAGGATGCAAGGGCGGAGGTGGTGGGAACAGGGACCGGGAGAGGGAGGCCAGGAGCAGGACCAGCCATGGCCAATTTCCGTGGTTGAGTGACCCACGATGTCCGCTTGTCAAACGTATTGGGCGGAGGCGGTATTTTGCGGCGGGCCGGTATTTTGCGGCGGGCAGGACGAGTCATTCGAAGGACTTCCATCCGCAGGGCGGTGGGCGGGGGGGGGGGAGGGAGGAGGAGGACGAT